ACACACACACACACACACACACACACACACACACACACACACACACATACATATGTTATACTCCAATACAACAGCTGTGCACTTTCACTTCCTTCTGTATAGTATGATAAAGCCTCTCCCGCCTTGTTTTTTGCATCACCCCTGACCGTCAGGTAAAGATTGTTTGGGTTCGTGACCAACATTGCATCACCCCTCCACTTTTAAATCATTCTAAATTCAATAACTGTGTCCCATTCCAACCACGGAGTCATTGTGGCTGGACTCCCCGGCCCCCGCACTCCCCACACATCCCTCGCCTCCCACCCAAATCCCCTCCTGGTCACGGAGCATGGCTCAAAGCACGTACCTTGTCTCCCTCTAGTCTCTCTCCGTCATGTTGGCTCAGACATAAGCAAACAGCCCTTTGAGCAAATAGTGCAACAATTTTTTTTGTCAACACTGCTTTCAGCTTAGAACAGCGGTGACCATGTACTATAAAAACTCACTCATATCAGAAGCAGTAATATATAAATACATTTGTAAGAGAAAGTCTTTCACTTATGAGAAGAATATTCCCTACATATTTTAATACCTGAAAAACAATTTATGTAAGATGCATATTAGTCTGAAACTTAGGGCGTCACATTTTTAGCATTTTGGCATCATAATGTTGAGAATGAAGAGAAGGTAAAAGAGCAGAAATATTATTTGATATTTCATTATTTATACGTATATTCATATCAGATACAATATAATGTTCATGATTTATTTTCAGTACATCTTTATATTTTACCTTTACCATTTTTTTAAACTTGAGTACACAATCATGTGTATACATGCACCTTACGTACAGTAGTCTTATGAAATAGTAGGTATGCAAATGAGGGAACTTTTATCAGTGTATCAGTATTTGTGAGTCACTTGACCCACATTGCATGTTCGCTCCAGATAATGCATATGCAAACATATTTTTTACTTCCTGTGTGATGCAAAAGCCTCATGTAGCCCGTGGTCGACGCCCCCTCCTCTATGACACATAGATGGATGTTACAGGAAATGTCTATACGTTTCCTTTACTCTGGCTCCAGAGGGGCGTTCAAAGGTCAGGTTGGGACATAAATAGGCCTGCTTGAATTGCAGAGACAATAATGGCTTTATGCCATCACTGAAATCCCATTTAGCTTCACAATTAGAAATATATGGAAAGGTGACAGATAGCAAAAGACGTATGTGAGTCACACAATTCCATACAGATCAAATCATTCAGCATTCAACTTTTGAAGTGGGCAGCAGTAAGGGGGCTGGACTGACCATTAGCACCTTCCCTCTGCTTTACCACGGCTTCAACTGGGTTAGGTAGTCACTTTGATTTGGTAGAAGTCAATCTAGCGATGCCACAGAAGAAATGTATCCATCTCTCATCCTTGCCATCTAAGGCAGTGGCTGGGGTCATATCAGGCCATTCTGTCTGTTGGATGTAGCCCTCCTCATCTTCTATGCGTAGGTAGACAAACCCGTAGGCCCGCTGGGAGGCATCACAGAAAATGTGGATCTGTCTAACACTGGGCTGGTTGGTGTCTAGCTGTAACACTTGGCAATGTCACCAACATAGATGCAAACTCTGCTCCAGAGATGTATGGCTGGCTAGTTAGCTTGGTTGCCTGTCCTTCCCCAGAGTGGTGGGGAGTGAGACGGAGGGACCGTTAGACCCAGCCCTGCCGCTGGCCACCAGCCAGCTGTTAGTCTCATCATCTGTAAGCGTGGCGGAATTAGCATGCTAGCTAACTCACTGTCTGCCCACTAGTTAGCTAGCTAGCTTGCTAATTACACCATGATTAATTGCTACACCGGTTACAGAAAAGGATAGTTGGAGTGGTGGGTCTGTTTGGTAAGTGGTCCACTGAGGTTGGGTTGTTGGAGGCCTACTGTGTGATTTCAAACCCACCAGTTGCTAGCAGCTGTCGCAGTTCATCCACCAGCTTTTTGGCCTTGTCAGGTGATATGCTGTAAAGGCAATTATCCATGTAGAAGATCCTGACTACTATGGATCTCAGCCCGTCACCTGTTTCAGTGTGGTCCCTGATGTGCCAGTTAAAGCAAAATGATAATACTGGCCATTCACAAATACTGGGTTCAATGCTGCTCACGCCACACAAATTGATGGATGTGGGTATCTTCAGGTAGGAGTGGACCAGGTGGAACATGCCTTTCATGTTCCCTGTCACCGCTACCTGATACTGCTGGAAATAAAGGGGAGCACCTCGAAGTTTGGGGTTAGGACAGATCCAGGAAGCAGATGGTCGTTTTGGTTTTGGCCCTTGAATGTGAAGGAGAAGTTGTACACCACACGGTTCTTGCCATTGTGGTGAGCCATGTGGTGTGGGCTGTATTATGATTCTCCACAGCCCATTTTGTAAATGTATGGACATAACCGGCTTCATCAAGCTTCCCGACTGCCTCCTATTGTGCTGTTGATGTTACAGGGTCTAAAGCCATCTGCTTCTCTGTGTTTCCCAGGTTTGGCATGACTGCTTCCTTTGGAAGCCATACATGGGGCCTGGTATCCTTCTGAAGGAGGGCCAATGCATAACTGTTGATTCCATCCACTATGACCATTGCAGTTTTGTCCAGCAGCAGATCCGTTGCTTTCTGGTCCAGTCAGGAGCGTGTCACCAGTTTCTCAATAGCGGATGGCTGCCAGAGTTTCTCCCTGTTTTGATACAGGTCTCGCATTGGGAAATATAAAATCACTGCTAAGCTTCAAACTGTTCCTTTAGGACTAGTGCTGGTCTTTGGAGTGTCCCGACTAATTCGGTTTTGGGGCCTCCAGGCGAGCCGACATGGACTGGCTCTACTGCAGTGAGTTAATGTGGCCGATATATTCTTCAATTAGAAGCATGGGGCATGCCTTGCTGATGGGCTGTAAGGGGGAAGTCCCGTAAGTGGCGATACTTGTATACTGGTATTGGATGCTCAGCAAGACACAGATGGATGATTTGAAAGCTCGGGAAATGTGGTAACTGTTACGATAACTAATTTTGTTGGATGATATATTGTTCCGAAAATTTGTACAAAACAATATTAATATTATTTTAAGACCATTTTATGCCACTGATCTAATGATAATGTAATAGCATATAAATGCATTGGAAAACATAAATAAACAATAAATAAAATGGACTCTTGAGCTTAACTAAAAAGGTGCTGTTTATTCTGGCATCAATTGGCTAAAATATTAGTTACATCCTTATGTGAACAAACAACGGGGAAAGTCGGGGTCAGCAAAAATGATCGATGTCATGACGAAAACGTAAAAATGATGAAGGTCATGTCAATATAACGATAATGGAGTATTTTCACATCCTGTCACATCCTCCTCAATGCCGTTTACAAAAAAAAGACACACAAGATGACGCCTGCAGAGTGTGATATACCCATCTACATATTAACTACAGGCTTGCCAGCATATAACTATCTGCAGTAGACTCATTGACACCTGATATAAAACTGTACATCATGCATTCATTACTTTGGACTCTTAACAACGGTTAATAACAGAATCAAAGTATAAACGTCTACTAGCAGCAGCAGTGTAACATGCTTTTCCATTAATTAAATGATGCAGTCACATCAACTTTATAATAGCACCTGCTGTCTTTCCCTGAGGAAAAAAAACGACCTTGAAACGCATGGGTAGAGAGTACAGGAGGAAGTTTAGGAAGCTGGATGAGGATATGTGTCACTGTGGGAAAGGGCGGCAGAGGGGCAGAGGGTGTTGAAAGTTATGTGCAAAGTGTGACTAACATGTACACGCTTACTGATCTGCTGCCACCACAATACATTTTAATCTCAAAGTCAAATTTCAGATTTTGGAGAACTTCGATTGATGTCAAATCTTGATTTATGTGTGGCATCATTTGACCTGTGGCCGCTGGATGTGTCCTGGCATGTGACACCAGTCATAGTTCTCTAATAAAAACCTGATGTTTTTAATCAGGACAAAATAGCCCATTTGAGATCTAATTTCAATATTTACAATTAGTGTTTTGAAAAGATACTGAAATCAATGTTTCTAAAAAAACATCCGAACAATGGATGGGAAGTCTCCGCACGGCGTCTTTTTTCTAAGACATTATTTACTTATTAGGGCCACACGTTTTATAAACAGGGATAGTCTATTATTTGGATAACAATGAAAGAAAACAGGTTGGCCTTAAGGGAGGAGGTAGTTTGGATTGTCATAGAAACAATGCAACTTTATTTTCAAAGTCATCAATAAAAAAAATCAAACGGGATCAGTTTTTAGAAACACCTACCGGATAAGTACAGGAGATCCACAAAAGAGCTTCGTTTCCAATTAAGCGGCAATAGACGGACCTATGGGCCAAACCACGAGGACCCTGTGAGGGGCTATGCGGACACCGCTATGGAGTTTCCCAGTGAGTTATGGACATCTTTTTTCTCTCCTCTGTACACCGGCTTTACTAGTTAGTCTATTTCACGCTTTAAGCAAAGGGGGGGGACTGCATGCACAGGTTGATGTTTTATCGCTCACCGTGGTGCGTAAAAAGGCGCGTCCTCGTACTTGCGGACTTACACGTTATCTCTATCCTTTGGGGAGGTAAATAAAAGGTTTTGTCATACACCGCAGTGATGCAAAGTCTGGTACGTGACTGCTCTCACCAGCAGCACACATGGTTTAGACACGGACCAATACGCCGGTCGGACTATCGATGGGACCCGCGCGCTTGGTTGCACGTTGGACTTATTGGATGCAGTGCCTTTAACTTGAGCCGTACAGTTTGTGCATATGTTTAAACACACGATGTTTCTTAAAGATGCGGCACCTATTTGCGAATGTTGCAGAAAACGAATAGAGGTAAGAGCGCCTGAAGCGTTAGGTCTCGTGCGTTACTTTGTTTGAAATACTTGTTTGCTGCATCAGTCTGTTTGCGCAGTATTTATGAACACGTTTATCACGTTAATGATAGGCTATATCATATGTGGACGTAGGCGTGCAGATTTCTAAGAAGTGGCATTAGAGAATATGTTCCAACTGCAGTCAATGATTACAAACATGAAGCATGCAGGAAAAGAGTGAGGCACAAATCGGAGGACAGCTTTTCGGAAAACAGGCATTCATTCAGTATTTAAGATGGTTTAAATTATTTTTGATATGGTTTAAAGCCTCTCTGGAGGTCGTTTTGTTTTTTTAATGCCTATTTTCCCGAAAAGCTGTCCTCTAATTTGTGCCTATTTTCCTGCAGGCTTAATGGTTGTATTCATTGACCGCAGTTCATGAATAGATTGTCTAATTAGAAAGCATCTGTACATTAGGTTGTACTGCTAAACTATAATCCTCTCAATAGCCAAAACTCCTTTACTCCAAATTAAACCAAATAACAGGTGTAGGACATTGAACAAAGTTAATAACGTAGGGAATAGACAGTATTCAGTCTCAAAAAGTCAAAGCATCATGTTGGTCTTGGACCTTACAGAGTTGAGCAAGGCACTAAATCTGCTGGATTTGCGGGTTTGATTCCCACTAGAGATGTATTATTTCCTGTTACTGTAAGCCATTGCAGATACAATGGTCTCCTGGGAGGGGATTGCTGAGCACTGTTTCTTGTCCACTGGGCAAAATACAACTTCTGTCAATATTCTCTAGCATGACACAGCAGAGTGGGAAGTTGAGGGTACTGAATGCGAAAGCTGAATCTGCAGTTTTTGGCTCAGTGGTTGCAAACTTATGTCAGCAGAAAAGAGAAAAGGGTTGTCAAAGGCTAGGGATTCCAGCGAAGACGGACAGGAAACTATGTCAAACCTGTGTCATCTGATATAGCTACTTATTTATAACTTTGTGATGGGGAAGACCTTTTTGTTGGTCTAAATTGCTGAGCTCTCTCTGTGCACCTGCTTGACACAACTTAGTTAATGGCACATGTCTTTTTATTTATTGGTTTATTTGATAAGTGACAGTGCACATTTATAAAAACATTGCTGTAAATGCGCCAGAGTTAGCCAAGAGGCTATTTTTCATCTGTAGTCCCAAGGCAGATGTTACAAAGTAAACCTAAAAACAGAATATAACTTTGTTAAATTTACAAAGTTATGCAACATTGACCCTTTACAATGCGTGCAGAAACAATGACAGAAGTGAGAATATTAATATAAGTTGTATCATCATTCAGGCGACTCAAATGTCAAAGGCATCAGCTCACGTGAGCATCTGGCCATCTTTCCAAAGCATCATGTTACATACGCGGAGTGATGCTTGCCACTATCCAAGGCACTGCCACTTGGGGACTACGGCTTCCGATTTAAAATAGCAACATGGTTTTGGCAGCTGATGTTGGCAGATAAAGGTGTTAACCTTCAGTTTGGCCATAGTCCTGGACTGAAAATTCGACCAGAATGTAGAGGGTGGAGAGAGAGTGTGTGTGTGTACACAGTTTAGATTGATGCATTCTCACGTAGGCAATAGCTGAGGTAAAAAGGTCAGCGACAATCCTCAAGCTGAGTCACACACACTTATATAAAGTTATTTATGGTGGCTGCGTTTTTTTGAAAATGACAAACGTCAGAGCGTATGGAAAGGAGGCCATGTGCAGACATCACTCTTCCTCTGAAACTGCTGTATGCTTTGGTATAAGGTAAAGATAATTTAAACCCTGGGACCAGATTGTTGATCTCACGTTTTGCTCCCAACCAATAATATAGAAAGATGTAGATTGTATAAACTTAGAGTATCATATGAGGCCTGAAAAAGACCATATTCACATGGATTTCAAGTCTGTGCTTCAGTTTGAAGTGGACACATTTACAAAAGTCGGAGTAGTAGTAAATTCACCAGCGTCTCATTATAGTGGAACAGCCACTTACCAGCCAACTGGATGAAAACAGGCCCAGTAGTAGGTTATGTGTCAAATGCTTTGTAATTCAGCATTCATTCCCACTCTGCTTGTATTCAATATAAGTATAAAATACTTTTCAATAAGCCTATGAATGACACATTGAAAATGCATGTCCACAAGTTCTAGTGAAAGTCACACACCTCAGGGGAACGAGGAGGCTTTCATACTGTTGCTATTGCACCTATTAGTAGCGTGTGAAGTTGTGGGACACTATGTATAACCACACACTACATACATAGAGTATACACGAGGATTCTGGGAAACAGAGGGCTGGTACAGCTTGGTCCTATGCGTCATCGACGGTCTGCTCCATGACGTTAGAGTAAAGGGGGCATGGAGGTTAAGATGATTACACGATTGAACTCAGTGGTAGCAAACCTCCAGTTTTAACTTAACCTTTTTTTTTTTGCTGTTCAGATTAATTTGTTCTCGTTATCTGGGAGTCTGGGGACTTAATGTAGCCTGTATTTGACCCGTCTGCCTGGGAAGAGCTTCTGTATTTCCTATCATCCGTCTGCGTCACACATCCAGGCTTCTGTGAAAGAGCGCATTCAGCATGCGGCACGGAGGAACGAGGCCGGATGCCCACATGACCCACAACAGCAGAACCACTCTCATTGCCAAGTGCATCCTTGGAGTTCAGTGTGCTGCACTCTCCAGAAATATTGTCTACATTTCTGAATAAAGCTGACTGGCGGCCCAATTATAGAAGCACCCTGCTCTAAATCAGTGTGAAACAAGGATACAGTCATTTCTGCACTGTCATGATATTGGCAGGTTTCTGTTCAGAGTCCAGGATATCACATGGTTTCTTAGGCGTGTGAAACAAAGTGACTGAGCTCCTGCTCAGTCATGCTGATTTCACATGATACAGCTCTAAAAGTCTGTTTTGTTTGTGACACCTAAGTATGTCCAGAATAGACTCATATTGTAATATGATGTTTATTAAAGACTGATCCCTGAGCCAGCAATACATGCAAGCAAAGGCGCAGTATCCCAGGCAACTCAAAGGGGATTGTTGTATAATTGACCTCTGACCTCGCAGCAAACAGAAATTTGGGATTTTGTTAAGAAGATCAATAATCTGCAACATTATTTGTTCGCATACATACTTATCTGAAAAGCTCTGGATCTGAATAGGTCATAGGAAGTTAACGGTGGGAATGAAATATTTGTAGACAACAGATTCAAAGATAGAAATCATATGTCATTACCCCTGAAGGTCAGACCTTACGTGAGACGCATGAAAAAAAGTGTCCAGATGTGTTTTCACGTGAAGCCTATGTATAGCGACGAAAGACCTTGACTGACGTCACTAGATGAGGGCGGTGGGTAGAGTGGAGACCTATTACAAAAGACACAATTGTTCCTAAAGAATGAATCACATTTCTTAGAATGGGGATGTTAGTTTGTGAAGGAGAGCCGGTCATGACCAGGCTCATCCCTGCAGGAATGTGTCCTTAAATCATGGCAGGGTTTAATTCCCCTCAGTGGCTATTACTGAGATGGCATTTAATTAGGAATCATCGCACACGGTCCAGATGTACAGGAGCGGGTCTGTGTATAACTGCATCAATCTGAAAGTAATAGTATTAATGAAAGTGAAAACGCATCCTGAGACTGCCTCTGTTCTGCTTCTTGGCTGTACCGTGTGAACCTTAATCTTTGTGTCTGGGTACACACACCCGCCCAGGATTTAGGAAGCTGCAGTTGCGTGAAAAGATTTGAGTAGTGTTCGACTGTTCTTAGATCTCTGCCTTCATCTCAATATAACTCGACTGGTGGGCAGAGGCGAACAACCGTGAGGCGGTATTTCTAGTTTTCCTTCTGTGTTGACGTTCAGCAGCATTTGCGTGACTGTATGTGTGTATTTGTTGTATGTGGCAGGACTGCTTGCCTTGCTGTTGATGGTGTTGGAGTGGACCCGGCCAGGCCTGCCGTCCCCGCTGAGGCCGATCTGTGACCTCAGGGTCCTGAACCATTTCATTAAAGAAGCACAAGACGCAGAAGTGGCTATGGTGAGAGGAAAACGTATGCACTCGGATCTCAGTTCCTCAGAGATAGTGTGGTCCAGGATATCAGCCATACTGATCGTCCATGCACCACTGGACAGATGTAGCCTGAACACTAACATCACGCCTTTATTGTTTTTCTTAGAAGTCATGTCAAGTAGGATGTAGCCTGTCAGAGACTGTCACCGTTCCCCAAACCAGAGTCGACTTTGATGTCTGGGAGAAGACAAATGTAAGTAACTAAAAAAAAGCTGCATGTTCAAGCAGCCGACAACAGATTTAGATCAGCTGTGAAGTGTAAGTCCACAGACATTTGCTGCCTTTTGGGGACCAGGAACTCTACATAATCCAAATGACCTGCCTCCTTTGTTCTGTATCGCTTCCATAATGAGACTCTGAAACTCTTGTCCTCTGTCTCCTTTCTTTTGGCAAGGCATTAGAGCAAGCCCAGGAGGTGCAGTCTGGCTTATGGCTCTTACAACAGGCCCTCAGCTCGCTACGGACCTCAGTCACCAACACAGCACTGCACAGCAACATAGATAACTCCATCAGAAACCTGCTCAGCATCAATGCTGTGCTGCGTAGCCTCAACATCCAGGTGAGTTACAGCAGGTTCAGAGGCACAAAGTCAATGTTTACCGGACGCCCTTTGTCACCTTAATGGTGTGAAGAGAACCCGAGAAATGTTGGATTTCTGTTCAGGAGGTGCAGCAGCAAGGTTTATTTTATTAAGGTCTGTTGCTTTCTTGGAATGAAATGGTGTTTTCTCCGGTAATAGAGAAAGTGAGGGATGTCATGGGACATTCTCTAGAAGTGTGACCTTAAGCTTTTCGTATAAAACTGACACTGAAGCTGCTGTAAGAGTTTGTTCTTAAAGTTGTGGCAACACAGCCTTTAAATTGATTCAGGACCGAGCGGAGGCGTTGTGGAGAGACAAACTAAAGCTGAATGAACCGCCTGTGTTCTGGCTCAAGGGTCACCGAAATCAAAGTTTCGTCATCGGGAACAGTTAAAAGGGTTCTCAAACATGAATCCCAAGACAAATATGGAATAATAAAGAAACAGTTTACAAAGCCTGGGAAGATTATACATGTATTTTGTTGATACCAAGACATGATCAACATGAGAATATGTGTTTAGGACTTTTCGAGATAAGACTGCTGGTGAGATTGTGTGGATGTGCAGAGTTTTAACTTTACAAGCCAAAGGAAATGCCATGAAACGTGTCAAATCAGATGGAATTGTTTTGAAAAATACATTCCCCAAATTGAGACAAGCGCAACATGTCGCTTTGTATTGTCTTTTAGGAATACACCCCACCAGCGAGTGCAGCGGGGCTTGAGGGAACGTGGAGGGTGTCCTTGGCAACAGATTTGCTTCAAGTCCACGTCAACTTCCTGCGAGGCAAAGTGCGCCTCCTTCTGTTGGATGCACAGGCCTGTCAGCAAGACGTCAGCTGATCTCCCAACTCCAGGCGGAGCTCATTTGTGTTTCCGAAGGCAAGAGGAGGGACTTGACACTGTTGACCTGCACGCTGGCTGCTGGAAGCAGCGTGCAGAAAGAGAGAAAAATTGAAGCCCTCCTCACGTGAGGGGGAGGACGCTGAAAGGAGAGGACAGTCCCAGCTGTGCTTTGGACGGACTGGAGATGATTGCACCTTGGAATGTAGACGTGAAACATGGACACGGCGAAGCACACACTGACCAAAATGAGGCCTGTGGGAAGCACCGCTCCAATCGCTGGTCTACTGGCACTCTCTTGCACTTTGTGTGTGGATGTTCTTCTGTGCGTGTGTGGATGTGTGTGTCAGTTAGTGTTGCAAGTTTAAATCTGTACGTAGCGTGCATGTGTGTCCGTTTCCAGTGAGTTTGACCCTGTCACTCACCTCTTTGGAGTGAAACAGAAAATATTGATTGCACCTGGAAATTGGAGTACCATGAGGTTGCGACAGGGCATCTATTTCCACTATAAAAAGGCAAAAAAAAAAGGAGGCCCTTTCAACTATGCCTCGCAGTCACTGTCTCTTCTGATATTTTTTTTTTTCAATGAATATTTTTATATATTTGCACAAGTTGTGCAATTACTATTTATACAGGTTTTCTACTTTTAAGCTCCAGTCTTAGTATTTTTTTAGTGTCTGATCTTAAAGATGTTAGTCAAGCTCTCGTTGCCACGTTCTCTTGTGGAACACATTTACGAAGCCATTTGTTGGCATAATTTGCAATAGCACGCTTCCGTCTGACTGTATGTACTATGTACTCGACTAGCTGTAGGTTTCACATCGCATTTTCCTTCAAACTAACTATAAAGGACTAAAAAGTCAGTTCACAGTGAACGAGAGGTCGGTGAGGAGGTGGCTGGAGGGTTGCACGAGATGTCATTATCTGTGTTTTTGATGTTGCCTAACAAACACAGCCTGTCTCCACACACTGATAGCCAGACGGCCCGGAAAAAGGCTGTTTGCCTTTTACAGTTGACATCCTGCGAGGCTGTAATTGCAAACCGTTTTCCAGTATCTGACGTTAACGTTTCTTGCCTCCCTGTATTTGTTCGTCATCAAACAGCAGGCAGGCAATTAGTCAGTCATGGGAACTCGAAGCTTTCTATCAAATTGATGCTCAACTCCTTCTTACCGGTGAAGTGTTCTTCCTTGTTTTTTCCCGTATTTTTAAATCTTGTGCGAGTGCAAGATGTTTTTAAGGATGTTTGTACATGTTTTCCTTCCTGTTATTTTTTCTGTTGATTTGTCCCATCACTGTATAATTATAAATGCTATTTAAATACAAAATATTATTCTTGGATAAAGAAAGGATAGATGGAAACACGACAAGGGGAAGTCTGTCCATTTCATTCATTATCTAGATCTAGTTCAGGTCAGTGGAGTTAAAGAGGGGAGAGTTAAAATTTATTGTTTGTCAACAATCAAATACACTGTCTGCATAAAAACTGTCCATTACATATTTTAAACATGAACACCACCAGCTCAACGTTCCGAAACAAAATTTAAATAGATTTAGACTGCTGACATCTAGTGGACATTTACTGCAACAACACTTGTATGAAATAAAACCTTCATATTTGTATATTTTACAACATGCACATATGAAACTGTAAACACTTCAACAGTCCCTTAGTCGGGCCTTAGAATGAAAGACACTTGTACATTCACATTTGGCACAGCCATGGCTACAAGTACATACATTACACAGAGGTTTCAGCTGGCAAACACCTCTGCTGCTTCAAAACATGCAAAGTAAAAAAGGTACAACAGCAACAATTTACAATTGAGAAAACGCAAACAAACAAGCTCAATATATTTAGTCAATTCAGGTCGTCCCAATTGGAGTATTCCAACGCAGTTTAATGAATTACATTCAGCCAACACATTGTCCATTCTGCAGTCCTCTACTGCTGTTCTCATAGGTCCACACACTACAACTTGAAAACTCATGCCTGACACGCCTCTATTCAGCTCACTGAGGGTCAGGGTAGAAAACCTTGATATGAATGGCCGAGTTGTTGCGTGTGCGCGTCATTGGCTCCCCGGCCTCATCGGGATCCTCAGGCTCCAGGTCGTCCACGAGCTCCACCGTGGAGGTGTTGGCTGCCAGTTGCAGCGCCCCCTGGCTGCTGGCCTGCAGTTGAAGGGCAATGTTGATAGCCCTGTTGATGGCCAGGCCCAGGCCGTGGACACAGATCTCCCTGTGACCCCCACCGTCCAGCAGCTTCTGACAGCGTGCCAGCTGAGCGCGGAAATCCGTCTTCATGTTGACGTAGACGTCATTCCGTCTCTTCGGGAGTTTCCGGGGGAGGCGCTTCCTCAGGGTGTACTCCACCGGGTCCATCTCTACAGCCGGAGAGGTGGAGTCAGTGTGCACTGGGGCTGTCTGAGGCATAGAGGACATTCCTGGGTTGCGTGGCTCCGTCATGTTTTTCAGTGTGTTTATGTGCTTTAGGCAGCAGCTGGGGCCAAGTGAGCAAGCTGAGAAAATAAAGTTAGTCGGCAGAAGTTAATGAAATGTGATCATGATACCTTACAGCAAACAAACATATCATATTTGGGGTAGCAACATTATCTCTTCATCTGCTGAATAGGGTCTATAAAAAGTAAGTAAATATTAAATAATTCTTACAATTTCCCATCTACAACCAGTCCAAATCGCAAACATAGCTCCAAGTAATGACCCATTAGACAAAGAAAAGAAACAGATCCGTAAAACTGAGAAGCTTTAAATTATGTAGTTTGCATTATTGCTTGAAAAATTAATAATTTCAGCTCTAAATCCTGCAGTAATTCTACTGATATTATAATCAAAAATGCAACTGAAAGTCAATGAATCAATCCACACAAATTTGGCTAATTAAAAACACCAAACATTCCCTGATTCAGTCTTCATAGATGTGACGTCAGCTGAATTTATTTGGGTTTTGCACTGATGGTTGTACAAAACAATACATTTGGGGACTTCACCCTGGGCTTAAGGCAGGGGTGTCCAAACTTCTTTCAAAGAGGGCCAGATTTGATAATGTGAAAATGCCCAAGGGCCAACAGTCCCTGCTGACATTATTTTAAACAATACAAGTAGCCTTGTAGATAAAACGGGGATGAATTTATATCATTGTATAAAGAGAGTGACATGAGAAGATCAATCTCATGTCTGTAAGTTAAATCAGCTATAATCACTCTTTTAAAGTGATTAGTGACTCGTCTAAAACATTTAAAAAAGGAATAACTTCAATAGAATCATTCTATACAATGTAGCTTATTTACATTCTATTAGAATGTAAAGAAGTTACATTGTTGCCTTTTCTTTTCTTCCCACAAGAACGTAATTTTGTCAGGTTGATAAAAAAAATGTCACTTTACTTCCTGACATTGTTATTTTAAGGGAATGGTGATTTATTTCACACATTTAGAACATTTTTAAGAGCAAAGGATTAATTGAGAAAATAATAAGCCAAAAAAAGACATATAACAGTTACCGGTAAAAAAACAAAACATCAACACATAGTTTATTTTGCCTCATATCCAGCAGCAGGTTGCATTTTCACATGTATATTACCTCGTCTTCCCTTAGTAGTAAAACATTTGCCAGCAGCAAAACTAACGTTTAAATCAAATATAAATACGCTATGTGACTGAATTTTGTAGTAAGGGCTTTCACACATGACAAGCAAGCTAATGCGACTGAGCCCAAGAGCTGTGAGTCAGCTAAGCTAGCTAGCTTCACGGTGACTCCTGAGTAGTGCGTCCACGTGATGAGCACACTTACCTTCAGAAGATGATTTAAAGTCAGAAAAGACACTTTATATCATCGCGATAGTCTCAGGTTGCGTTACATTACATGTCTGTAACAGCAGCATTCGCTTTAGCCAACTACTGCTAGCTGTTTATTTCCTGTGTGCCCCGGAAGTACACTTCCTCGGTCATTCTCCTGAAACAGAAGTGACACGAGGCTGTCGCCACCTATGGGCGATACATTGTAACGTCTCGTCAAAAGTCTGACAGGAGTTTAAAAATAATTTAGGATTCAGATTTGAAAAATATGTCATCTCTAAAAGAGGGATTTATCTGTTTGTATTCTGCCAGATATCGAAGTATAGGCTACCACAACTTGGCACTATTAATAATAACAATATTAATGCTAAGAAAAAAAGCTACAATTAGAATTTTGCTGAATGCAATGCAATTGTAGCCCCTTCTATGCTACATGCACAGAAAAGATAACCTATAAAATATTTTAAATCAAAATAAGTTCAAGCTATAAAATAGAACTAAAAGTAAATATTTGACAATCTAAATAAATTGAATCCAGACATATGCCTACTTCAAGGAACCCACGTGCCGAACTGCAAGTCATCAGAATTCAGTAAAGTTCTCTGAATATTATTCAAGAAAAAGAGGTTTTTGTTTCACAGGAAAATCACATAAACTGATATTTCCATTTCTAACCTAGCCAGCAGATCCATTATATACATGAATTAAGAGTATTAATCTGTCCATAGCATATCTTTACATCTTTAGGTAATGTCACAGATTATCATTGGGAGGGATTTTAACACAGATCTCAACCCAGCAATAGACCGACGTGGATCAGTAAGCAGGACATGGCAATCCATTTTCAACAGTAATTTATTTTCATATTTTTCACTACTTCTCTTGTTTAGAAATCTCAAAGACATAACAGATTCCTCACTTCTCTCAATTATAATGAGTGATCATGCGACCATCTCCTTACATCTCCACAGTAAGCAGTTCCATAAACAAGCCTCCAGATGGCGGTATATACTTTGCCTCTCAAGAAGTGGACGTGGACCATTTCATTGCTGAAAGGCCAAGACTGACATATTTTTAGGAGAGAGTGGGCATCCTTTATGGACATAAACAACTCTCTATAACTAACTAATATTACTCTATGAAACTGCAACAACAGTAATACGGTGGAAAATAATCTCATATTCATCTAACCAGAAGCAACGAGTGACAGCACACAAAACTAAAAATCGAATCCCAATAGCTTTAGGAAACATTTAAATATGTCTGAAATAACTAATTGAAAAGCAAAGTTCTTAAATCAAAGAAATAAGGCATCATTAAGCTAAACTCACCTAAACTCACCTAGACACAGCCCACCTAAACCTGTCTCTCTATTCAACTCCTTGAAGAGATTATTTAATTGATTAACATTGATTTCCCAACAAAGTGTCAATTGTGCAGCACAGCAGGGAAAACAACTGAAAAAGTCTGAAGAAATCTTTGACCCCGGGAAAGCACATGATCCAGAAACCACATGATCATGAAAGCGAAAGTATCTCCCCCCAGAATAAAGAGAAGAGGTCTGCAGGGGAGCAATTGCACACACGGGCTCGCTGAGTACAGGACACAGACCGTGAAATGCTGCACCGAGAAGAAACTTCTGCATAGAAAGGTTGTTATTTTGACATGGCCACATCTATTCTATAAAAGATTTGTCTTTTCATGATCTGATATTTCCCTCAATTACTTTTATTATGGATACAATTAAAGTCAGAGAGAGTTGGAGACGAAACGCTTTTTACATCATTTATCATGATTTTCATTCAGTCACGTGAGGCTGATAATTCCTGAGTGTTGGGTTTGATGAGTTATGTAATTTAAAAGACGCAAGTGACGGGGATGGAATTAAGAGACTTGGGATGTTCATAGTTACACTAGGATTTACCAAAGTCGTACATTTTCAGACCATACACTCAAGATTAAAGACTGATTAGTATAAGTTATTGTTTTGATTATAATTTCATAAATCCTTTTCATTCATACCCCTCATGACGCTGCACATGATAAGCAAATGTAGAAATGCACCCACAAGCTATGGTTCTTGTTGGGCTTAGTGTTTTCTGGTTTGAAGTGACTTACTGGTTTTGGTCCATACTGCAGTCAAGAAGGCTGCAAGGTGTTTTAAACTTTACCGCATATTATTACAGCACTCGAGCAATAAAGCCTTCAATACTTGTCTCTTTTTTACTTTCAGTGAGAAGCTGTTTGAATAATCCCAAACCAAGTGTGGGGGGACTGACACTGTACCCACAATGGAGGTAAACAGCCTGTTTGTATATCTACAACAAGAAGAAAAGAAAATGGAAATACTATCTTATTAACTAATGTGTATGGAATTATGAGTTGATTCATCACACCTGAAAATGGCCATTTTCTTATTCATGAAGGGAGTCGGTTACTGTGCAGGAGAAGACGACACTCCATCAAAGCAGTGGTCCGACAGCAAGGGTCAACACAGCACGTGTGGTAAAAGTAAGTTTTATACAGTCTACTGTTCAGCAGAAAGGCACTAAATGATGTGCAGTCCATAAGTAAAACAATTTATTATATTATTATTGCTGTTATTTCCACTGGGCCAAGCCCCACTGTGAAGATGACAGCCTGTCATGTCAATAGAAAGTCTGTCTACACAAGTAAGTAAAAGAAAATAATAAGGAGGGTAATGTAAGGAGTGGAATTCACAGCAGGTTTGATGATGAATGATGATGATGAAGGATGCATTAACCTTGGGGGCAGGAAACTTACTACAATACTTGAAAGAAACAGGATTGAACAGAAGAATTTAAGTCTCTGAAATGGAGAACTCCGTTTTGTTTTGTTTTGTTTGTTTTTTGTTTTATTTTGTTTTGGTTTAAATTGTGTAAGGGGATAGGTTATTGGATCCACACTCCATTATAGTACGTCGGTAATGCGGTAATGCACCATTCACTGGATGCCATCCGCCATAAAATCAAAAAGAAGAAGAAGAAGAAGGATTGATGATGAAGCCACACTTCTGAAGTTACTGTAGGTTGAAAACTGCATTTGAACTGAACCTGTAGAGGCTCTCCAACCCGTCCTTTCAGAACAGACCGACACAGACAGAGCGCTTTGGGACACGATACAACATATCAGGGAAAACCATTAGGAGATCTCACAGCAGGAACTAACATGATGTATCCAGTTTTAAAAGGCCCAGTTGTTCATTGGAAAAAAAGAAAAACCTAGTATTGTTGTCATTATTGAAACAGGTAATCAAATAAACAAGAAAACCAAAAAACATGTCTTAATTCACTCTGTTTTGTTTTGTTTTATCACGTTTATCCGACGCTCACATGCACTAAAAGCTGGTGTATATACAGTATATCAGTGGCGGGCCGTGCATTTCATACCTGGGCCTTCACTGCTGTCCTGCAGCTGAAATACCACCTTATAACCTCATGATGGTGCCACAGCTATTATTCGTTTCGAAGTCTGTAACTATATACGTATTCGTATTAAACCGTTCGGTACGAGGCTTACGATACCTTTGAATAATACTAGAGCATTTGGAAAATGCAGAAGCTTAAATTCAGTAAAATATAATGTTTTTTATGCTCATGGAGGACAGTGGATCTCAGCTGGTCTGGCTGTGGGACCAACCATCATTCCTTAATGACAAGCCGCAGCCCAAAGAATTCACCTTATGATTTTACTTTCACAACTAAAACATTAGACGTACTGCTCTGCGAAGTCTTTCCTCGTCTCAGCCCCCTGTGTCACGGTGTGTGGTACATCTCACTCGAGTCAGGAAACTTGTCAGAATGCCCATATTTGATTGGCTGAGCTGCATCACGTGATGTGATTCACAACGCCGACTAAGCCTCTGCTGTTAAGTTTCATTTCACGATAGTCACGTGCTCGCCCACTGACCAATCACAGCACACGCTGTACCTCACTGCAGAGCTGCACATGGAAACTGGGCTGCACATAATGCTTACATAGCTATTGACCGGCTAGCAGGCTCTGACACGTCAAAGAATACGCCCAACATGTCAAACTAAAGATCTGATTGGTTGAACACTATGACAATCAACAATATCGTCCCCATTCACTTAAACTGCAAAGGGATGCAGGTGTGAGTCTGCAGGCCTCGGGCCTCTGTTCTTACCTAGAGACACAGAGGTGAAATCTGATTGGATAAAAGCTCTACTTAAAACAAGCTGCACTGGACACTGGCACAGCAACTGAGGAAGACAGTAGCTGTGCAATGAGATAATAAGATAATGGGAAACATATTTTTATAAATTATAATACATGTAGTGTATTTAAGAAAAATTATTAAATTCTAAAATAGATATAGCATTGTGATTCTGTTTAGGCCAGCAGAGAAGGCCTTGCAGGCCCTGACGGCCCGCTACTGGGCAATGCAGAAGCTTAAATTCAGTAAAATATAATGTTTTCTATGCTCATGTTCTATGCAAATTATATATATATATATATATATATATATATATGTGAAATACTTGTTTGCACCTATATTAATGCTCTGAATGTAGAATATTGCTCCTTTAGTATGACTTGGTTATATTATGCCTGTATGCCTTTCCAAAGCCGAACAACTTTTGGTGAATCGGTGAACCGGTGACCCTTACCATCACCAAAACCCCTGAACTCCTCATCCTCACCTTCATCAGGGGTGGAGGGGTCAAATAGGCAGCATCATGATCACAAACAAATCCACACTAGAAGAGATTATGTAAATTACCCAAGGTCCTAGTCGACTGTATGGGGATTATTTAAAGTAGGAAGTCTTCTGGAAGTGAGCAAATATTGGGAGTTAGTGAATACAAAACTAAATGTCACTACAAACAAACATCACACACACAAAGGCAACAGCCACCTGATTTAACATATTTTTCTCAAATTGTTAATATATTGTTAATACTTACTTTAGGTGTCCACCACGGAGAAACATTACAAAACCAAATAACAGAAAAACAGAATTAAGACTTGCTCCTTTGTTTTGGTGTTCTTGCTTATTAGATTACACATTTCAAGACAAAAACAAGAAACCACAGCGTCACATTTTTTTTTTTACAGCCTACAAAACCAGAAGAAAAA